TGTTTCAAATGTTTAATATTTCAATATTAGCAAGCATCATTTTTGGTCTACACATTCACGAAGACAACTTTGTAATTTCTCAATTCCTTTCTCAAGTACATTATACTAATGATGACCGAAGATCCATTAGGATTTATCATTATTTTTGAAATAAAATTATCATATTAAAAATATCATATGGGGATTAATTTAGCCGGGACGGTTTATTGATCTCGTAATCTTTTGGATCATTTTAGTCGTGACGGGACGACTTGGTCATTCAAAATTCATTTAATTCACTGTAAAAATCACAATAATTGAAAATAATTACATCAAATCTATTTTAAAAGGATTAGCTGAGTTGAGACAATTTGTTAATCTCGCAATTATTATTTCTGATTATTTTATATGCGATAGCTTGATATTCCGAAACCATCAAATCCAAAACTTTTAAATGATTTTCTTTAAAATCACTTTCAAAATTAAAATCATTCAACACACAAATATTTTCTACAGAACAACGTAGCTTTGGGTTTCCTATTGTGCCGAGGGATACGTCAGAGCAGGAACCTTCCCGTTAAGCACAAAAATAACTTTTTAAAAATTAATTTTCTTTTCTTTAATCAATTTTGTTTAATTCTTTGGGGGTGAAATAAGTATTTAAAATTTTATCATTAAATTGCACAACTAATATAAGGTAACCATTTTTTAAAACGAACGGTGTAGGGTACTAACATTTTTCCTACCCGTAATCGACTCCCGAATCCATTTCTGTTTTTTCAAAGACCAATTTTCAAACCAAAAAGGTTTTATTCCAATGTTATCCCAACTAAACCTTGGTGGCGACTCCATTATTTATTAAACTTTCACCCTTCGTCGTCACGTCGCGATAATTTACATGTGATTTCATTTGTTAAACATGCTTAAAATTGGTTCTTGACAAAGGAAAAATTATGAAACCACCATTTGAAACACTTTGAAAATTGGTCACGAAAATGTGATGAATTTTATTACTTAGAGACTTGAAATTGGTGTATTGATGGCTGTTGATGTTGTAGAGTTGTTCCAATTGACACTTTGGTTGAGGAAAATCCATTGGAATCTCCATTGGTTCAAGATTGAGATTCTAGAGAAATTTGCCTAAGAGGGTAAGTTCTTGGATGAAAGTTTATGAGGAAATCCTAGTCATTGACTTAATATTTGTGTGTTTTATGAGATGTTAATCACCTTTCCACAATATTGCAATAGGTTTTTCTTGTGTGGTGTTGGAGGTTGAGACTCCTTGAGGCTGAGCAAGCTTAGAACGAAAGTATACAAAAGAGGTAAACTTCTGAACCTTGGGGTCAATCCCCCTGTGTGTTCCACCAAGCTCCGTTGGAGTAATGGTTGTTTGATAGTTGTGCATGGTAATAGCATGACATAGTAGATTGTATTTTGAGATATATGATGCAATGACTGAGAAATGATTGATGAATATGAATGATTAGTAAGATTGATAAATAATAATAAAGATGTATGTATATAATTTCCATTGGGTCAGCCGAAATAGCAACTCCTAGGAAATTAAATACTCAAGAGAAATAACCCTAAGAAGGTCTCTCTTGAAAGTAAATAATGAGTACGTACTTCCTTTGGAGCTAGCTGAAAGAGGACCTCCTTATGGTAGATACCTAATAGAAATAATCTTAAGAGGATCTCTCTTGCATGTCCCACAGATGAAAAAAAGATGTATAAAATGCTATGTTCTGTTATTAATCCTATACAGTAAGTATAATAACCCTGATTTGTAATATGTCTAATGGTATAGAATTAACTATTTAATCATATATAGTTCAGATTAATTAAGTGAGAGGCTTAATACAAAGGATTGGATTAAATACTAACAAAACACATTATAGATAAAATAAGTGAGAATATTTAGTTCAATCAATGTTAAGTGGTATTTGTGATTAAAGATTTAATCATGCATTATTGAGTTTAATTACGTAAAAAGCTTAATTAAAAGAATTAAAGTCACTTTTGGAGTAAAAAGTGTCGTTAATGGATTTTTTTTTTGCTAAAAATGTGTGTAGGAAAAATTACCTGGAACCTAAAAGTAAGTTGGGAAATATTACTGTAAAAATATTCCGAGCCTATGTGACCAGTTTAGAATATAGTTAAGCTAACAAGGTAGTTAAGTTTTTATCCAGTTGAAGGTTACCTACCTAAAGTTAAGTGTTATAACTTAGAAATCCCTCACAATTTTGTTCATCTCCTTCATGACTCTCTTTCTATCTACCTGAACCCCCATTGTCAAAGAGCTTGGAATTGCAACTCCTTCATTTCTCAACGAAAACAAATGGTCCTTGATGCAAAGTTGCTTAGAATCTTTGTGTGAGTAAAACCTATAATCCATTTCTCGCAAAAAAAACCCTTCTGTTAAGAGAAAAATGGAAGGAAAAGTGGTGACCCTTTAATGATTGGGTGTCTTGATGTATTGTTGGATCTCATTGGAAGTTTGAAATCCATTCCCTAAGTGATTCCAAGACTAGCCATGGTAAGAAATCCTTGTTAGGAATGTGGCTTCCATACTCAAGGGAGATGAATTGAGTATTATAAGATTTTCGCAAAAGCCCCCTTCTAGTTTCTAAATAATAATTTCAAGCAAACTTTGATATGTGAAAAGCTAATCAATACATTCAAACAATCCATAATATATAATATATCACAATTATAGAACTTATTCTAGCACATACAAGATATCAAAGAAGCAATTAAAGTGCTAGAAATTAAGAGTTTAGAGTTTAGATTGCAAACACAATATATCCTGGTTCGGTCACCACCACTTGTGACCTACGTCCAGACTGACGCCGCTCGATCAACTCTTTCACTAATGGTCAAGCTTCACGGGTGTTTGACAAACCTTTACAATCTTCCAAGACTTTGGGTTTTTGGATACCTTACAATCTCCAAGTTTATGGATACTTGACAACCTTACAATTCACTCTAAATTTACTTAGGTATTTGGCTACCTCTCAAACAATCGGTCTCACAACCCTTTCAACTCAAGAATACAAGGAGAGAAATATTTGGAAATGAATATATATTCTCAAAGTGTGGATATACAACTTGAAGCACTATGGGTATATAGATTTTCAAGATATTGTGGAACCAATGCACTCCATGAATAGAATATAAAGGTTCAACGATTTCGATGATAACAAACAAGCATGGAAAGAAAGCTTCAAGGAGCAACCATCAAAAAGAAGTCTAAACAAGATCAAGACTCAAGCTTCAAGAGACGTCACTAAGTCCAAACTCAAAGTAATATACTGTAGGACTTAGGATTATTTGTAAATTGATTCTTTACAAGAATGAAGCTCAAAGTTTTTTTTTAAATACATGCATTAAATCATCGTTTGACATTCAAATACATTCTTAATATGAAAACATACTTTTCAATGTTCATAAAATGTTCAAACAATATTTGAAAATGATGTGAATCAAGAGAAAACCATTTTAGGACGAAAACCAACCTTTAAACAGGTTGGTAATCGATTACCAAACAATGGTAATCGATTACCCTTCATGGTAATCGATTACCCACTCAATGGTAATCGATTACCTACTGTACAGAGACAAAAATAACGGCTATAAAACGGCTAGTTTGCGAAAATAAGTAGGAAAAAGGCCATGGGGGCCCTCTATAAATAAAGACTACTGTTCCCATTGATGGGACACACTTATTGATCATCATTACTCATTAATTCTCATCCTATTTGCCTTATTCTTGTCTTCTTGATCATAAATCCTATTTGAGCTTTATTCTTGTGAGAGTGTCATATACCATTGTTCTTCAACTTGTGTTATTTGTACTTTAAGAGTACTTAGCCATTATTAAATACCTTCCTTGATTACTTGAGTAGCTAGGGGAGTGAACCCTACACACTTGAAAGGTCACCAAATTCCTAAGAAAATTTGGAGTGAAAAAGTTTAAGGCATCAAGAGCCCGAAGTCTTGAAAAGTTGTAGTGGTTTGTCAAGCACCCTCAAGCTTGATAGTTAGTGAAAAGAATTGATCGAGTGGCTTCAGTCTGGACGTAGGTCACGGTGGTGGTGACCGAACCAGGATACATCTAGTTTGCAATTTCTCTAACCTTAATCTTTTTTTTAAGTATTAAAATTGCGTCTTAGATTGTCTTTATATATTCACTTGCTTACTTTGTTCATCACTACACTTGCTTTTACTATTAGACACTTCTTTATTAAATCACTTTATTGAAGAAATAGTCTGTAAAACATCAAAGGAGGTACTTTGCGAAAAGATTTTGTAAAACTCAATTCACCCCCTCTCTTGAGTATTGAAGCCACCTGTCCAACAAGTGGTATCAGAGCTTGAACTCTTGTATAAAGAGCTTAACCGCTTCAAGAGAAGGGATGACTTCTTTGAACCATGATATGCCCCTTGAGGGATCATCTAGTACTAGACCTCCATTTTTTAATGGTGTCGATTATTCTTATTGGAAGAGTCGGATGAAAATATTTCTTCAATCTAATGATTTAAGAGTATGGAGTGTAGTTGAAAAAGGATACACACCACCTACTATAAAAAATGAGAAGGATGAAGATATTCCTAAAGATATAGATAATTACACTGAAGATGAAATTAGGAAAGGAAATTGGAATGCTAGAGCTCAAAACTTGATCACAAATGCCTTAGGTCGTGATGAATACTTTCGTGTTTCAAATTGTAAGAATGCTAAGGAAATGTGGGATATTCTTCAAATAATCCATGAAGGAACGAGTGATGTTAAATTTACAAAATTAAATGCACTCACTAGAGAATTAGAAATGTTTGAAATTCATGAGAATGAAAGTATTCAAAGTATGCAAAAAAGATTCACACACCTTGTCACTCATCTAAGTGCTTTAGATAAATCTTTTACTAACCTTGAGTTAATTGCTAAGGTGATGAGAAGTGTGCACAATAGGGAATGGCAACCCAAGTTGACGGCTATTACAGAATCAAAAGATTTGAAAACCATGGACCTTGCAACCTTGTTTGGCAAGCTCCAAGAGTATGAAATGGAGCTAACTAGAATAACCTTGAAGGAACAAGCCATCAAGAAAAGCAAGGGAATTGCCTTGAAAGCCTCAACACCAAGCAAAGAGAAAGATGAGGAAAAAGAAGATGGAGATTCCGAAAATGGTCTTGACGAAGATGAGATGAGTCTTTTCGTAAAGAAGTATGGAAAATTCTTTAAGAAAATTTTTCAAAGAAATCCGCATTTCCTCCTAGAAGAAGATCTAAAGATGAAGGATCCTCACAACTTACCATCACTTGCTTTGAATGTGGAAAAACCGGTCACTACAAATCGGATTGTCCAAATATTCAAAAGAAAGACAAATATGAAAAGAAGCAAGGCAAGGATAGAAGGAACTTCAAGAAGGCTTATCTTGCTTGGGATGATGAATCTAGTTCTTCCGATGATGACTCCAAGGAAGAAGCAAATCTATGCTTCATTCAAGATGGAAGACCACCGGAGAAATCAAGCAAAGGAACTCAACATGTATGTCTAATGGCAAATGAGGACAAAAATGAATCCGAAACCGAGGTAAACTCATCTTGCTCTACTCTTTCCCCTTCATATGATGAGTTGTCTGACATGTTTGAAGAAATGCATAATGAAACACTAATACATGTTAAAGCTCTTAGAGCATCAAGAAAGACTATTAGTTCTTTGAAAAAACAAATTGCATCTTTAGAAAAGGAAGTAAAGGAGTTGAAGGATGAAAATGAAACTCTCAAATTACTTGATGCTAGCATTGGTTGTATTAAATGCCTATCTTCAAATGATCATGCATCTCCATCATCATGTACTTCATGCAAAGATCTAAACAATGAAATTGATGATTTAAATGAAATTCTAAGCAAATTCACATGTGGAAGAGACAACTTAAATGTGTTGCTTGGTAAACAAAGATGCATGTTCAACAAATCCGGTTTAGGCTTTGACACTAACACACAAGAAAAATCATATAAAAACTTTTTCATTTCACCATCCTACATGACAAGTAGCCCATTCATTAAATGTTTTCATTGTGGTGGAAAAGGTCATAGTGCATCCACTTGTAAAGTTAGAAAGAATGGTATTATTGGGTAAAAGAAAGTGTGGGTTCCTAAGGGAACTAAGCCCAAGACTAACACACAAGGACCCAACATGATGTGGGTACCAAAGATTAAATCTTGACTTTGTGATGTAGGTTTGTTTGAAGGCTAAAAGCTCCAAGTGGTACTTGGATAGTGGTTGCTCAAGTCACATGACGGGAGATGTAACTAAGTTCCAATCACTCACTAAGAAAGAACATGGACATGTTTCCTATGGAGATAACAACAAAGGAAAGATTCTTGGTATTGGAAAAGTTGGTAATTCCTCCTCCGTTTCTATAGAAAATGTTTTACTTATTGAGGGTCTCAGACATAACTTGCTTAGTATTAGTCAATTATGTGATAAACATTATAAAATTATTTTTGACTCAACCTCTTGTAAAATTGAGAGTCTAATTGATGGGCAAGTTAAGTTTCTTGGTCATAGTGTGGATAACATTTATATGATAGACTTAGATGGTATCCCTTCAAATGACGATAAATGTTTTATTAGTAAGGAAGATGACTCTTGGTTATGGCATAGAAGAATAGCACACATTGGCATGGTCAATTAAGCAAATTGATATCCTTAGACTTAGTAATTGGGTTACCAAAGCTCAAATTTGAAAAAGATAAAGTTTGTGATGCTTGTCAAATGGGAAAACAAGTAAAGGCTTCTTTTAAATCAAAAAATATTGTTTCTACCACAAAACCTTTACAACTTTTACATATGGATCTTTTTGGACCAACTAGAACCATGAGCTTTGGTGGCAATTACTATGCCTTGGTCATTGTGGATGATTATTCTCGCTATACTTGGACTTTATTTCTTACATATAAAAGCAATGCTTTTAAATCATTCAATAGACTAGCCAAGCTTATTCAAAAGGAACTATCTTCAAATATTATTTCAATTAGAACCGATCATGGTGGAGAATTTGAAAATCAAGAATTTTGAAATGTTTTGTGAAGAAAATGGTATTGAACATAATTTTTCCGCTCCTAGGACTCCACAACAAAATGGAGTTGTAGAAAAGAAAAATCGTGTATTGGAAGAACTTGCTAGAACGATGTTAAATGAAAATAATCTTCCAAAATATTTTTGGGCGGAAGCCGTTGGCACCGCGTGTTATGTTATGAACCGTGCTTTAATTAGACCTATTTTGAAGAAAACTTCCTATGAACTTTACAGAGGAAGAAAACCCAATATTTCATATTTTCATGTCTTTGGTTGCAAATGTTTTGTTTTAAATAATGGAAAAGAAAACCTTGGCAAATTTGACTCTAAAGCCGATGAAGGGATATTTCTAGGATATTCACTTACAAGTAGAGCCTATAGGATCTATAACAAAAGAACAATGGTCATTGAAGAGTCTATTCATGTTGTATTTAATGAGACTAACAATGCCTTGCCTAGAAAGGAACCTTGTGATGATGAGGTTATAGAAAGCATGGAAAACATAAACTTGAATGACAAAGAGGAAAGTGAAAGGTAAAAAGAAAAGGAAGCAAAAAATGAAGAAACACCAAGTCAACAAATCAATGATGGAAACAATCTACCACAAGATTGGAGAATAGCTAGAGGACACCCCATTGATACGATAATTGGTGATATATCCAAAGGGGTAACTACTAGAAACTCGATTAGAAATATTTGTAATCACTTAGCATTTGTTTCTCAAATTGAACCTAAGACCATAAATGAAGCAATTATTGATGAACATTGGTTCTTGGCAATGCAAGAAGAACTAAATCAATTTGAAAGAAATCAAGTTTGAGAACTTGTGCCAAAACCAAATGATTATCCAATAATTGGAGCTAGACTTGTTGCTAAAGGATATAATCAAGAGGAAGGTATTGATTATGATGAAACTTATGCTCCCGTTGCTAGATTAGAAGCTATTAGATTACTACTCGCATTTGCATGTATAATGGATTTTAAACTCTTTCAAATGGATGTCAAAAGTGCCTTTTTAAATGGTTATATTCAAGAAGAAGTATATGTTGATCAACCTTCCGGTTTTGAAGATCTTGATTTACCTAACCATGTCTTTAAACTCAAAAAGGCCTTATATGGTTTAAAGCAAGCTCCAAGAGCATGGTATGAAAGATTAAGCAAATTTCTTTTAGAAAAAGGTTTTTCAAGAGGAAAAGTGGACACAACTCTTTTTATAAAGAAGAAAGATGATCATCTATTATTTGCACAAATTTATGTTTATGATATTATCTTTG